TAAACAATGATGATATTTCTGTACACTTCTGCAAAAGGACCGCTTGTTTTCAGTCATTCTTCAGTTACAAGTGACACAGTGACTCAAATGACTTGGTTTTACATGAGATCTCACCACTTTTTGCAGTGGTGGCATTTTTTTACATTCTGTGTTTTTGAAGGTGTACGTATTTCCGGTCAAAATATCGATGGAGTAGATGTTATATATAAATTTAAAAATAAATAAAACTTTCCAGTAACAATTAGATACATTTTAAAAATTTTCCAGTCATTGAAACTGGGAAATGTTTCTTTTTTTTAATTAAATATTAATTTTTATAACTGTCAGATGGCGATCTGTTTAGTCAGAAATTATTCATACTGTACCTCTCCCTCTACAAAAAATGTTACGTTACCTAAAAACAATATATCGGGTGCGTCTCAAAAGTGGGTCACCCCTATAATTTTTTATTTTTTCAGATAAAAAAAAACGAGATTTGGTATATTAGTATATTAGACATAATTATTAGACATAAATTAGGATTGATTGACGCATTCAATTGTTTTCGGTCACTTCCTGTTTCTCCGAAAATGACTACAACTATTGATTTTTAAATAGCACCCTCGGTATTTTTTTACCTTATTCGATAGAGAATGACACTCTAAATTAGAATGACATATCATATGTCAACATTTGACATTTTCGTATATGGTTTATTTGAAATTGTAACATGCGGTTCATAACGACATTAAAATACAATTATTATATAATACAAATTATTTGACACGAAATACCAAGTGTGTAGTACCAAATCATTGGTAAAAAAATGCCTTTTCCAAATATGCTAATGAGCCACCCTTGTTCCATATGAAAAAATTGAGATTTGATTAAAAATACGATTGGGGCATCTTTTAACCGGCCAGGACATGACAAGAAAAAACATTAGACTATCAAATATATTTTTCCAAGGCTCCTTGATCAAAAATTAATGTTTTTAACACAGCCATAACACTCAGAGTGTCATTTTCTATCGAATAAATTTTTATTATTTTAAAATTTTTAAAAGTATACCGAGGGTGCCATTTAAAAATTAAAAGTTGTAGTCGTTTCCGGTGAAACAGGAAGTGACCAAAAACCATTGAATACGCCAATCAATCCTAATTTATGTCATTTACTAACATATCAAATCTCGTTTTTATCTAAAAAATTAAAAAAAGGTATAGGGGTGAGCCACTTTTGAGACGCATCCTGTGTATGAACTTTATGAACTGATTAAGACTCATTAAGAAAATAAAATGATTTCCGTAATATTGACAGATATCTTAGAAATAGATTTTTTCAACCTCTTTATTTTTGAACAGAAATACAACAAATCAATTAAAGTATCCATTCGATTCAAGTTCATTAACAACGTTCTCAATTAGTGTCTATAACAGTTAATAACATCCAATTTAATATGTAATTTGCGCTTTACATTGAGTATACACCTGTCGCAGTTCACAGGTTTAATAACACATATTTTTCTTTGCCTAGCTGTTAACCAAAACAAGATGTTCAAATATACTTCCCTTTACAATAGTATAGATTACAGGGTGTTCCAAAAAATTCAAAAAACTTATAAGTAATTCCTATAAAATAATTTAAAATTATCAGTTTAAATACAGCAAGAAAATTTTAGATCTTTTGTGAAGACAAGTTTTATATAACCGTTGCAGTTCTGATCCAGAACCTGATTATCATTTTTTTATTTCTTTTTCAGTGGCAACTCGCAGAACCACACAGATTCCAAAGATAGTAACGAGAGTAGAGATTTTTTTGGTTAGATCAAATTATCTACAAGTAAAGATCCATTAAGAAGCTGGTTTCCGCTGAATTTAAAAGCTTAGGGATTGCATTACTGGCAAATGGATACCGGGTAAATGTCCTAAATGTGCAGTGAAATATGAAAAGGTAAATCGTGTTCCTGTACCGGTAACTTCGGTAATCTTTAAAAATATATATGTTACGGTTAAAGTCCGATGTCCGGTTAATGTCGACATTAACAGGTTAATGTTTGGGTTTGGTTAGATTTTGTTGGTTTTGTTGTGTGTTATTCTCGAGATTAACCAGGTAATGTCGATATTAACCGAAATCGGACTTTAACCGTAACATATAGTATATACATTATCACCAATTACCTATAACAGATGCGAAAGAAAGCGACTGCATCGGAAACCGCTCGGCAAACCCGACACGCCTATTGAGTGGTGTAAATACACCAGTCGTTTAGTCCGGAAACCTATGCTGTGTCGTATTCGCTTGCTGGAATGACATAGTGCGTTGTTATATGTTTCTTTTTAAAAACGCGTGTAGGATTGTTGTTGAACTTTTGAACTGTTATTTCTAAGTTTTGGTAATTTGTATATCTTATTTAAAATGGGATGCAAATGTGTTTATTTATAAGGAAAAAACATATTTATAGTATAAAAAATTAATTTATGTAACAAAATTTAATTAAAAATGTGACAAAATAGTTACCTTTCTATTGGTTCTATCGGACTTTTTTCGACTATATAAATCTTTATTTGTAAACTTTAATACATCAAATATTTTCAATCTAATAAACCATTTAATGATGTAAATAAGAGGAAACTTCTCACATGGGTGGTCAAATAGTTTTCATTATATCAAACAGCCTCTGAGAAATGTTTTCAACTCAAAATGCCTTTAATTATGTTTGACTACATCATTAAAAAGGGTCTTCAAATACATCAGTGTGATATTTGTCTAAAATTTGCAAAAGAATCCGAATCTCTGGATAACCCGAAATTATTTACCCATTTAAAAGCCTTTGATCATGAAAGTGGAAAATTTTGTTCATTTATTTACAGGCCGGAAAAATAATTTATATTAAATTTTGATGAGTTTTGCACTGAAGAAAACATTCAGAGGCTGTTTGATATAATGAAAACTATAGAATTTGACCACCCATGTGAGAAATTTCCTCTTATTTACATCATTAAATTATTTATTAGATTGAAAATATTTTATGCATTAAAGTTTACAAAAAATAAAAATTTATATAATCGAAAAAAGTCCGATAGAACCAATAGAAATGTAACTATTTTGTCACATCTTTAATTAAATTTTGTTAAATAAATTAATTTTTTATACTATAAATATCTGTTTTTTTCCTTATCTCCTACGAACTGATATAATATGACGAGCAATCTATTAAATTACTGTGATATTATACAGAAAAGTCCACAGACTTCGAGACATAGGAAAATCAAGTCCATTTAGCGTGTGTCCAAATTTTGACAAGTTTTCAAAAATGACAGTTTTGTTTAGACTGACGTTTAATTTCACATGACTTCTCGGTGAATGATTTCTTTTATGGGGTACATAAAATCTAAAATTTACGGCCATGAAGAAATTCAAAACTTGGAGTAGTTAAGGCAGAAAATATTTAATGCCTTTGATACTGTCACCCTGATATGTTATCCAATGTGAGGAGGGATTTTATGATCGTTTGGTTTAATGCAAGAGGAGGCACTTTTGAACAATTTTGTAATTTTTAAATTTCATTATCCCGTTTTTTACCGTTTACCCATTACCTACCTTGACGAACATGGGAAAACGAAGGTCCTTTTCAGGACCACAAATATTTTGATTGAAAATTGGTAACTTTTTTTTTGGATTAAAAAACAAAAGTTGTTAATATAATACCAATTTAAAAGTGTTTTAGTAGTTTTAATACACACTATGATATAAAATTTATTATTATTATAATGTACATTATTAATAGTATTGTTCATTCGAAATGGCATTAAGGCCCAATTGCAACAATGATTTAAATTTTTCTTAAAGATAAGTAGAGCTTAGAATGAGCTGTATTTAAATATACTTTAATATTCACCTTAAATGAGGGAATTTGACTGATACAATTTTTGAATTTGAATTGTTTTTAATGATACTAACAATTTTAGTTCAATTTTTAATAAAATTTATTTAATATTAATAGAAATCCAAGAGATCTGAAACCGCTTTTAGCGATTTATAACATTCTCAAATGAATTACAGGTGCCCTTATTTTCTATAAAAATCACACAGCTTTTTTCATAGTCGCTGCAGTTGCTATAGCTATAAAAAACTAATTTTTTAAGGTGTGAAAATTGCGACACGATTATGTCTCGAAGTCTGTGGACCTTTTTGTATGCCTCGATAACATATTGGTGCAGATTATTTTCACCCAAACAAATAATAACCCAAACTATACATTGATGCGGATTGTCTATGAACTCTTTCTGAAGGTCACAGAAACCTGAACGCGTAATTCGGTGTTCTTTCGCATCTGTTATAGGTAATTTGTGACACTATGCTAGAAGTCACACGCCAAATTTACCAGAACTCAGAAAGTGTTAGGCAGAGGCCGAATATTTACCAGAACTGATGCCATCTGTATTACGATGATAATAGATCTATTACAATATTTCGTCTATTACGCCATAGCATTCATATAATGCAAAAAATGTATGCAAAAAACATTCATATAATATATAAATAGCCATCTTATCCGATAGTCAAGCAGCCTTAAAGGCCATCAACTCAGTAACAGTCAATTCAAAGTTGGCCAAAGAATACCTAGAATACCTAAGCTGAATAAATTATGCAAAAAAAGTCCTTCTACTTTGGGTGCCAGCTCACTAAGAGATAGAAGGTAACGAAAAAGCCAACGATCTAGCTATAAAAGGAGCGAACACTTGTGTAACTGGACGAGAACCGTTCTGCTTCCCAAATGGAAACCAATTTAGAGCAGAACTCAAGAACTTGTTTAACTGTCTCCTCAACACTGTCTCCTCAATTAACACCTCATAAGTGAAGCTAAAAAACAACGACGAATTCAGATTCTATGGGGAAAGACCTCATAACTGAGTGTCGCTAGAAGAGTTAGATCCCAGTTAAGCGATGATTCCTTACAGAAGCTTTGATTCCCCAGAGTTTAAAAAAAGAGCAATAGCACAGCTTACAGAATAACATAGCTTGGACACTCGCCAATTTTTCCCACGCTCGAATTTAAAACGCCCCACTCCGACGATGCGCTAACTGATTTAAGCGACCGACAGTCAGCCTCATTCAGTGGATGCATAGCCTCCACCGGTGGCGCGTAGGGCCGTATTACGGAAGATTTTAATTCGATTTTTTTCTTATATTTAACCATAGGTATTTGTGCTTTTATTTCAATTTTATTTTTATTGATGGAATGGGAAAAGGTTTTCCGGGATGTGCGGCTGCTGGTTGCACAAATAATTATGGAAATAATTCAAAATATAGTCTGTTTAATTTTCAATTCAATTCAAAATTAATGTTCAATTCAAAAGTATATTCACACTTTAGAGCTTTTTCAAAACGATGAAGACTACTTATTTGGAGGCTTGCTAATGCCAAGTGACCATTTTTTATTTAGTTTCCTCATTGGAGGCTATTTTTATAAGCTTTTATTTAACTTGCTTTGTATGTAACTATCTATGTATGTATGTATGTTTGTTCGGGGCAAATCTTGTAAGCTAAATTAAAACCACTTCCTTTTATTGTAGGAGATTGAAATTTGGCATGTAGGTTCAGTCCCGATGACAATACGTTTTTTTGCAAGGCATGACCCGAATTTTTGACAGCTGTTAAAATGGCGGCATTTTTGAGGTTTTTGATTTTTTAAAATTCTATTTATGAATGGATCGGGCTGAAATTATATATATATATATATATATATATATATATATATATATATATATATATATATATATATATATATATATATATATATATATATATATATATATATATATATATATATATATATATATATATATATATATATATACGGGTTGTTAACTCGACAGTTACTTATAGGGAAACAGAATGGCAACACTGCCTATTGAGAACGTATGCATTATTGATTTTTTCTGCCGACTCGTCCCGTCGCGTCGTCTATCGACGAGCGGGCCGAGGTTATTTCAACCATAAAACTCTTGCCGCGAAGTAATGAACAATTTAACAACCTGTATAGGTATATTGTGGGTATATACATATGAAAAAAAAAAATATATGGGCGGCCATCTTGAAAAAATGACAGTTTAATGACATGTCAAAATTTCAAAGTCAACCGATTTTCATAAAATTGATATATAGGATGGCCATGGGCTAAAATGAAAGAAAAAAATTTGAGCTGTCAAATTTGACAGCTGTCAAAAAAATTTCAAAGTTGTCCGATTTTGATAAAATTGATATATAGGACGGCCATGGGCGAAAATGAAAAAAAAATGTTGAGCTGTCAAATTTGACAGTTGTCAAAAAATTTCAAAGTTGTCCGATTTTGATAAAAATCGATGATGGCCGTGGGCTAAAATGAAAGAAAAAAATTTTGAGCTGTCAAATGTGACAGCTGTCAATTAATTTCAAATTTGTCCGATTTTGATAAAAATCGATATATTGGATGCCCCCTACCCCATAGTCGGTTTTCATTTTATTTGTCTCACATTTTGAACTGTCAAATTTGACAGCTGTCGTTTTTAAGTTCTCCTTTTTAATGAAAATCGATATACATATTATTAAGATACCCATAGAAAGTTATTTAAGAAAAAAAAATTGAGTTTAAGTGTGTGGCACTCAGAAACCAGCATAACTAAAAAGTAGAAAATACATTTTATAAAAAACCTTTTTTTAAAAACAAGCTTTTATTTAAATACACTAAAAGAATAAAATAAACTCTTTTTCTTTAAAACTTTTATTATGAACTTAGAACGTCATTATAAAATTTTAATATTAGATATATAAAAGCTTGTCGCGAGATTTCTCATCGATAAACAAGTAAATTAACTAAAACCTGTGTCTACCCTGTCTCATTTTCAAAGTTTGTGTTATGATAGACCACTAGACCAGGAATTACAAGATAAAGTTGTCGTACCAGATTTTATGAAGTGCAACTGTAGACTCAAATCTCGCGACAAGCTTTTATATAATATTAAAATTGTGTAATGACGTTATAAGTTCATAATAAAAGTTTTAAAGAAAAAGTTTATTTTATTCTTTTTAGTGTATTTAAATAAAAACTTGTTTTAAAAAGTTTTTATAAAATTTTCAGGAACAATTTTGAAGAACTTTCCTTAAATGAAAATATATTATGTAAATTCGTTAAATTATTTCAGACAATTAAATTCTACCATCAATCAAAAATTTTCCTATAATGTATTTTTTGTTAAAATTATACGCAAAAGTTAGAATTTATTATACCTTAAAGAATATTAATAAGAACTTAAATGTAGCAAACAAAAACCGAAAGCTCCTAATTTAGAAACATTCGTAAATAACTATAAGTAATCAATGTACCTATTTCATTTTGCTGTTATTTCTAGAAATAAATTAATTTATTTATTTTTTAAATGTTTTTCTTTGAGAATGCATATTTATTTAAAGTCAACAATTTAAAAAACGTGTATCTAAATTATGTTCTAACACCAGTCGAATAATTTTTTACGTCACGTGTAAAATTTTTTTGAATACATCTCTGGGCTGACTGGCGCTTACGCGGCTATTGGTTTTGGCGAGAGAGCTCGCCGCTCTAGTGTTCCCCCTCTTTCGAATCGCAAATCCGAGCGTAAAAAGATCAAAGCGGCACGCTACACTGTCCGAGCTGGTTTTTACTTAAGCTGTGGCAATAGGTTAATAAGAAAAGAATCTAGTTATTCAGATACCTAAGTTACGTTAATTATAAGTACTTAAATACACTCACCGGTACGAAAAACGGACACCTTAAAATTTTGATATATTAATGTAAAATTTTGTTTTGTTGTATATTATGTTCTAGTATACTCTGTTTTTTTTCTCAGGTAAGATTTCGACAGACGATGACAGAAGAAAAGCAGATGACGTCCCCTACCTTCCCATACCAATCTATTTATTTTACTAAAAAAAGTTTCTAATAATTTTTAAGTTAACTATGGATGGGTTTAAATATAAATTCGTCATGCGTCGTCACTTGTTGTTTTTAGCCAGTTTTATTGGTTTATTTCAAAAATGACAGATCGTATTTCAATTTTATTGATTTGACGGAATGATGAACGACAAACGGACGCCGATGCGTATGAATTCGCCTTTAGATTTTTGACGTTTGTCAAAGTCTTGCCAAATTATAGGTTATAATTTTGTGACAACTTTTTACAAATACCCTGCGTTTTGGAAGATGATGCATTTTGATTCGTGTTATTACGTGTGTTTTGTGTCTTTTGAAGTCAAGTGGAGGAAAAATCGAGTGAAAATTAACTGTAGAACCCAGAGCACAGTTTATGGTTAATACTCGCTGCCCAGGCAGAAAGTCTTATACAGATACACCAATAAAGTTACTATCAATAAAGTTCGTATACCATCTCGTCGTAGATAAGTGCATCTCGAATATGGTAGAATAAGGACCATACTAAAAACTGGAGTAGCTGTAAAATATCGACATCACACGATAGGTAAATAATGGATTTTAGTACTGCAGAAAAATAATTAAAGATTTTTTGTTAATTAGTCAACCTGTGAGGTATAAAATTTGGTAAGTGTTATTATTAATAAAATAGTTTGTTTTATTTATGTTGTTTTATTTATTCCTGCGGAATATTACAAATTTGTATTTGTACAGGGTGGGTCAAATTCGACGCTTTTAAATGGAAACACCCTTTTCTATAGGAGATAGACAAAAACTAATATCGGTGTCTGGAGCCCAATTTTTGTCAAAAACATGATGGTGAAAACCGCATATCAATATCTGTTACCGATTCGGAGTTACCCGGTGTTTTTCAAAAATATGCATTTTTAACAAATCGCTGTAACTTTTTTGCTATGGAAAATTTTGTATTTTTATGAAAACATTTCCAAAGCACCTTTTTTACGTAGAATTTAATGGTTTAAGTATAATTTTTTAAAAATTAATAATTTAAGAATTATCAATAGAAAATGTGATTTTTTATATGGTACACCCTGTATATTTTTAATTTATTGAAAAGAATTTAAAATTACCTTTCCAAAAATATTACACACTTGATATTTTGCTCGATTCCTCTTCGAGATATAGAGTATATAAAAATTCGCCCGCACTTTAAATAAGTAGGCTTTGAACGGCACCGGCTGTAATGCAAAAAAAATCTAGCTGTGAGCATCAATTAAAACGAAAATAATATTTGCTATGAGAGATGCAGAATTTTATAACAATTTAAAATATATTTAACCAACATCAACACATTTAAACTATATCTAATAACAATAAAAGTAAATCGCAAACCAAGACATGAGATTTTGCTACAGGTGTTCGACATATCGACTGTCTTCTATTAAGAATAGACGGGACCGTTTTTGAACATTCATCGCGGAATTCATTAACTCAGTGGGGGTGAAAGGTACCCTCTCATAACTTCTAAGTAGTTCTAATTCTTGTCTAGATTATACGGAAGAATAAGGAACCTTTATTCTTCCGCAAATATATCCATAGGATTAGATCCATGGGCACTAAGTCAGGCGGCCTCGACGGCCAACGGCTGAGATCTTGGTAAGCTATACAATTATTATTCCTGAAATTGGCTGCTAAAATTTGCTGATAACTTCAGCGTTCAGAGGCGGTGCGTCGTCTTGCTGGAAAAAATATGTTTTCGAGTTCCATTAAGGGCATATCATCAATAAGGGGTCCAAAGCCTACTAGTTAAAAGTGGCGAACTTTTAAAAATTCTGTATTTCGAAGGGGATTTTAACAAAATATCAAGTGTGCTATATTTTTGGAAAGGTAATTTTAATTTTTTTTCAGTTAATTAAAAATATAGAGGGTGTCCCAAATAAAAAATCAATTTTTTTGTTGATAACTCTTAAAATACTAATTTAAAAAAAACATACCATTAAATTCTACGTAAAAAAAGTGCTTTGGAAATGTTTTCATAGAAATACAAAATTTTCCATAGCAAAAAAGTTACAGCAATTTGTTAAAAATGCACATTTTTGAAAAACACCCCGTAACTCCGAAACGGTAACAGATATTGATGTGCGGTTTTCACCATCATGTTTTTGATGAAAATTGAGCTCCAAACACCGATATTAGTTTTTGTCTATCTCCTTTAGAAAAGGGTATTTCCATTTAAAAGCGTCGAATTTGACCCACCCTGTACATAAGTTATATTGATAAATATAATCATAAATGCGGGAAGTTTCATAAAGCTTGAAAGTAAGAAATAGTT